TCAGCAATTGGATATGATCTCTCAGCAATAGGATATGAATCGGTTTCTCCCTCAGCAATTGGATATGATCTCTCAGCTATAGGATATGAATCGGTTTCTCCCTCAGCAATTGGATATGATCTCTCAGCAATTGGATATCCCTCAGCAATTGGATATGATTTCTTGACAACGGGAACGGCATTGATTATAGAAGATGTAACCAATAAAATGAACACAAAAATAAAAATTCGGGCCATTATTGCTTTTACTGTTATCTGGTCGATATTTATTTATAAATATAGTTATTAGTTTTCTAATTATCAAAACTTTCGATAATTGGTTTCAGTAAGCATCTTTTTATAAGAAAAAACAAATTAAAAATTTCACCCGTTCTCTTTAAAAACTATATAATATTTGAAAGTTTGATAAAAAAAAATCATGTGCGATTTGCGGAAAATAAATCCAGTTTTGTTCATTCCGTGATATGCTAATACTTTTATTTAAAACAAGGTAAAGCGTCAACTCGCGGTGAGCCTTGAGAATCATATGAGTAATATTCGAATAGAGCTAAAAATTGCATTTCATATTGCATTTATATGCAAGCATATTGTGAAGATCTCTTTAATATATATTTTTTTAAAAAAAACAAAGTTACCATATTATGGCTCCTTGGTTTTTTTTTTTAATGTGCGTGTTACGTAAATCAGTGGAATTTAAATGATTTGGATTCCAAGCACATTATACAGACATGAGATTACAGCATATCAGATGAGGGAGATAACAGATCGGTATAATATGGATGGAGATCATAGATCAAGTATGGCATTGACGCATATCAGTATGGCACAGTATAGTATGAGTATGGGGTAGGGTACACAGGAACGTAGTGAAACTGTGTATGGTTAACTTAGAGTTTTGCGCTCGTACACAATATTTTGATTCTGATTGGATCTACATCCCATAAAAATCAGATAGTGACACAAACTTAATCTAGATATGTAGTACGTGCGTCTCTAATACGAAGTGATAGAATGTCATGTGATCGAAAAGAGCAACCATATGACCCTTCGCCTCAAAACACCATCACAGGTAAGAACGACGCATGAGAATCATGATGTAGGAAGATCAAAGACAAAATATGTCAATGGCATATGAATCACGAAATAAAGGATTAAGTAAGTATAAAAATTGTTACGATGAAGTCGGTGCTTGAACTGAAAATTCACGCGAAAAGCAAAGGAAAATATAAACGACATGAATAGAATGGATATGATAAAAAAATAAATAAATAAAAAATGGAACCCTTTCACGATAATTATTAAGCAGAAATCAGATAATAAGAGATAGAAAGAGGGAAATGGTAAGGTTTTAGATTTGGCTAATCTACATAGTACTAGCATGATGCTATCAATACACAATATATACAAATCATTCAATATGAAGCTAAACAATATATATAGTTATTTATTTTAAATCCATATTCGATTTCGAACAATGTATATCCGAATTAAAAATAAATCCGGATTGGATATACAGATATACATGGGCGAAATTTCCAGTTTTACGCACAAAATTTTTTGAACCAATATTTGGAGTGATTACTTATTAAAAGCAATATTTTAATCAATCATCATAAAATTTCTTAAAGAAATTTTACGACGATTGATTAAAATATTGCTTTTAATAAGTAATCACTCCAAATTAAAGATGCAGAAACATGGTGACGTATGGTTACGTCAAAAAGATGAGCGGTTTCGTTAAAAGTGCCATAACAACGTATGTCATAGTAACCGATACTTATCTCAACTAAGCTTTTGACCATAACTCTATTATTAGACGAGTGATAAACGTAATTTAACTTGATGAATGTAATGATAAACATAATTTAACATTGAAATAAATAAATAAATAAATTGTACGAAAATTGAAAAATCTAAAAAGTCAATCAATTAAAAGCGAAAATTATTAATAAATTAAAAGTCGTCAACATGCCTTTAATTGATGGAATAGATTCTGGAAATCCCATACCATTAGGACCTTGTGCCGATGCTACTTCACCGTCTGAATCAGAAACTAACATTGATCGACCTCAAAGAGACAAACGAGGTGGACTCGTTTTCGACAAAGTATGGGAATATATTACCAAGGGCAAAAAAGTTAACCCAAGATACTATACTGCAAAATGTGAAAAATTCTGGCAGAGGGATTTAATCACTTTAAATGTAAAAAAGTTAAAGAATGCATTAATTATTGAATCTTTATTTTACAATGCACGATACATTCTAAATAAAATGTTTTTTTTAGAGAATTTATATTATATAATATACTCACAATATCATTTTAGTGAAGTGACCCATTCTATTAGTAAAATTTCAAAAAATTTATTATATCGAAGGCTTATTAATAAATTCGCTATTCATGGTATCAAATGTGTATAAAATTCATTATCCCGAGAGAATTTTAAATAGACCGGTTTTGATACTTTTTAATTAGTCTTAATATTGAAAGTTTACTATATGAGAATGATTTGTATCGTAAAACTTTAAACAGGAGGAAACGTCCAAATATAGATATGATTTTCATTCTCCGTTACACAGATCACTCATTGTATCGACCAGTCA